ATGCCAAAAACTCGGAAGTAACTGCTTCGGTTTTCGAACGCTTTTCAGAAGTTGAATGGTCTTCTGGAATGGATTATGTTTGAAAACCGAGTTAACACTGTATTTCCCTTTAACCAGAAGGACAAGACACACGGTACTCCAATAACTGATCACGAACTAACTAGGTCTCCAATTCACAGTGAAGCAACCTTTTCCAGATACTGTATAAAGTAAGAATGGGAAAAGATCATTTCCCCTGCACAATTAATGACAGCTTATTCACAAACTGGCATGCAGGGTAAGTTTAAGAGTGTGTTTTTTAAAGGGGCGGGAGGGAAAGGCAAGCCACACAAGCTTTCTAGTCTAGACTAAACTCTTGTTCTCTCATTCTTTCCCCATAAATGTTCTGCAGGCAAACTAATTCCTTCAGTGGCATTTTGTGGTCTTTCAGTTATGAATGCAGACACCTGTGCAGTGCTATTACTAAACTCCTGGATCGGGTAAACAGTTCTGCTGACAATAACAGAAAGGAATGGAATCTAGTTCAGTCTGCTTTAGCAGTTGTTGTTATTGCCATATAAGATTGGCAGTTTTCATTCTTAAGGTGTTCCAAGACATTAAGGTAAAGGTAAAAGGTAAGGAGATTCTGAGTTTAGTTACTTTCCAAAAACTCTATTTAAGGAGTGGGTTTGATGTGTACATTTGCCTTCTCATAGAAATAGTAAAATTTCTACTCCTTTCTAAGTATTTGTGAAAGCCGTTCTGGTAATGTCCTCTTTTGAAGGTCCCTCTGACAATCTTTACATGAAACTTTTTTTTACATGTTACAAGTTTCGTTCATTGCTATTTGCATAGTGCTTTCACAACCATTTCCTGTTCATACTCACTAGTCTTGTCATCCACAATCCATGATTTAGTGTAGGTGGAAAGTTCAGGTTTCAAAATTTTTATTTTACACAATGTTGGTTAATAGAAGAAAATGTGTCACGCGTCACGGGATGTCATCTCCTCATCAAAAATACATTTTCCAAAATCCCAGGATTTTTAAAGTTTGCTGCTTGTCTCACTGGTTGCAATGAACAAATGCCCTTTAGCAACGAAACTATAATACTGCACCAGACCATGGCAGATTGTATATGTAGTTTTCTCTGGTCTGGCTCCCTTCTAAGTGTTGCTATCACTACAGAGGGAAGCCGAGGGGCTTTATCAGATAATAGGAGACTGGCTGCTCCTTCTATTATTAGTTGCAAAGCTGCGTTAACAGGCAGATTTTATATGAGCTGGTAAAAACTGAATTTGGGAATACCAAAAATGGCATGCAGAGAGACTAGGATTAAGGAGCTCAGGCAGCAGGACAAAGACAGGCACTCCAGGAAAATTCTCTGCGGAGTATAATCTTGTCATTCCCTGGACATTTGGCCAGTTGACCACCAGCCTCTCTCCCTTATGTAAAAACTTCTAGAAAACTGTGTCCAATGAGCAGCTAGGCCAGGGGTAGGCAACCTAAGGCCCAGGGGCCAAATGCGGCCCAATCGGCTTCTCAATCCGGCCTGCAGACGGTCTGGGAATCAGCGTGTTTTTACATGAGTAGAATGTGTGCTTTTATTTAAAATGCATCTCTGGGTTATTTGTGGAGCATAGAAATTTGTTCACTTCCTTCCCCCCAAAAAATATAGTCCGGCCCCCCACATGATCTGAGGGATGGTGGACTGGCCCACGGCTGGAAAAGGTTGCTGACCCCTGAGCTAGGCTATACCACCCTGAATCAAAAGGTTCAAGCCCCAATCCTGTTAGGCTCCATATAACATTTTGCCATTTTAAACTTAAATGAGACTCATGTCTCATCAAATAATTATTAGAGAAAACTGATGTGGCACAATTCTGAAAGGTCAGCAACACAAATTAAACTCCCATGTGTTGCTTTCAGAAACGCCTGTAAATTGTGGAACTTGACAAACTTGTTATAAGTCTATCTTGTTTATTCCACTGAGATCCCCTAAGGGAAGTACTAGTCAAAGGAAGAATACTGGGGAAATGCCTGCCCTGAGAAAAAGCTGGTTCTCTGCACTTGAAGGGTAAGAGCATAAGAACATAAGAAGAGCGCTGCTGGATCAGACCAAAGGCCCATACTATCCAGCATCCTGTTCTCACAGTGGCCAACCAGATGCCCATAAACCCACAAGCAGAACCTGAGTGCAACTGTACCCTCTTCAGTTGTGATTCCCAGCCACTGGTACTCAGAGGCATGTACTGCTGGTATAACATACTCATCATGGCTAGGAGCCATTGGAAGCCTTAATCTACATGAATTTGTCCAATTCTCTTTTAGGTTGGATTTTAAAAATTCTCAAATCTTTTACATATAGCGCCCCCCCCCCCCTGTGGACAGGTAGTATGAATCAGCATCAAGCATTCTGTAGTTCTGCAATGGACATACAGGCTAGAAAGCAAGCCATCCGATGCAATTGCACCTGACCTTTCCGTAACGAGGAATGATACTTATTATACATACGAGTCAAAGGTAATTACGTTAATGAGCTTTCGAAAGCTCGCCCTTCTTTTTTCTTGGTGGGGATCATTCAGTTATTCAAGATGTCAAGAAATACTGCGAAACATTTTGTCTTATTCCCAGAACAAGGGGCACAAAGTCCAAAGTTTTTTAGTTTGGTTATTTGTACAAACACTCTTAACTTTAACATGATAAACTATAATGGCCAAGCAGAAAAACTCTGGGTTGTGCATTCTGCAAAAAAAACCCCATACACTCCTAGAACAAGGTGTGCTGGTACACTTAAAGGTATAATTTGTGTCTCCTATGTTTTGAAATAAATATTGCACCTAACATCTCTGGAGCTATGTGTAGTTATATTCTATACTAGTTCTCAAACCTTTGTGGGTAGATTATAAAAGAGAAAGCTTTGTTTACAGCAGTTGTAGCCAAAGAATATCAGACAAGTTATTTTTAAAACTATCAAATTTCTAGCTGTACACTGAAAAATTCCAAGATCATGAAAAGTGCCCAGTTTTAATGAAACGATCGGGGTGTAGAAAAAGCAATTAATCTATACAAGGAAGGTTCAAAACTAAAATACATAATGTAACAAAAATCTGAGTCAGATTAAAAAAACCTCTTCTAAAGGCTATTTTATGATTTTCAAATTTTTGGGACTGGCAGCCCCAAGATTATTCTATGCCAGCTCCACAAATCTTTCATGAACTATAATCTTCTTCATCAGAATAAAAACAATAAGCACTGATTTCAGACGAATGATCACATTTCAGGTGATGAAATGTTAAACAGGATGGATCATCAAGTAACATTTTATATGAATAAACATTTTATCAGAATATATATATATATAATTTGCAGGAAAGGTTTTAATCAGAATATTATAATTCCTGCTCAGGAGTCTTAGTGGCAAAATCTATGTACTCTTCTGTTCTGACGTATGATTATGCAGCTATCTTCCTCTGCATTTGGATGCTGGTTGCAGAACTGTTTAATGGTGGATTTAGTATCAGAAGAGGACTGACCTCTAGTGGACAAATGGAAGAGCCAACTCAGCAGAGTTGACAATGAACAGAAAACTACCGGTAATTCCATTTTACATTAAACTAGAATAGATGAGAATAAAACAGAGCTGAAATTGTGTGGTGAAAAAGTCAAACATGTTTTAAAATCAGTATTTATCTACTGCACAGCTAATAAATTATTTGATGGATAAACATAACGTAAATTATTGAAGGGAGAGGGGAACCCCCTAGGCTTAATTCAGAAGTCACAGAGCAGATTGCCAGCAGAACAGGGGACAAGCAGAGGAGCTCAAGGCACCGCTCTGTGGTCTTTCATGAACCCAACTACAAGCAGCAACCCAGGTACTGACACACAGCCAGAGGGGCCAGCTATGTCTGAAGCACCAATGACAGAAGTTGCAGGGGTGATGTCCCTAGGCCTCAACACCACCTCCTGAGCTTGGCCTGGTGGAGAAAGTAACCCCGATACCCCGGAGCTCTTGCTACCAAGAGTGTAACTCGCTGCAATGCCTGTTTCCCAACACACATAGAATGAAATTATTAGAGACTGCCCTTTTAAAGCTTCCCCCCCTCAGGAAGGAGATTGACCGTAGGATACATAGTGAACATAACAGACCGAGTATGTAAGTGGCTTGTTTGGTCTCTAAGAATTGTCCAAGGTTCTGGAGGATGTCTGACCACTCAGCTTTGGTGCAATACGCAGCCTCCGCAAAGGCACTTATTACTTACTGCCATCAGCTGAAGACCAATTGCTAGTTCTACTTTCTCCCAACCACCCTATGGGCACAATCTTGTCAGGAGTAGGCACTATTCTGAATTAAATATCACTGCCCTCTCTGCAGTTGTAAAATGAAAACTGAGCAACAAAACATTTTTGTCTTTCAAAACAGGTAAAAAGTTATATAAACTTTAGTCGAGGGGTGAGAGTGTGGGCACGTATTCCATATGCATCTACACAGTCCTATTTGTAGTACTGTGCAAAGTAAAGGTAAAGGGACCCCTGACTGTTAGGTCCAGTCGCGGACAACTCTGGGGTTGCGGCACTCATATCACTTTACTGGCCGAGGGAGCCGGCGTACAGCTTCTGGGTCATGTGGCCAGCCACTTTCTGGCGAACCAGAGCACAGAAACGCTGTTTACCTTCCCGCCAGAGCAGTACGCATTTATCTACTTGCACTTTGACGTGCTTTCAAACTGCTAGGTTGGCAGGAGCAGGGACCGAGCAACAGGAGCTCACCCCGTTGTGGGGATTTGAACCGCCAACCTTCTGCTTGGCAAGCCCTAGGCCAGTATGGTATTAGTTAAAGGCAAATTTAGAATTCATCACAGAATTGCACTTAATATTTCTATGGAAGATTTGCTTGTTAAACCTCCAGGTGGCACTATAAACCTCATCTCTGAATTTTAAAAAAAAAGGTAATTATCTATAAAGATACAAGGAACATCTGGATTCAAAAATAAGGTTTCTGCTGTGGTATAATATTTACCTTCTAGTGTGAATGACAGGAACAGTCCGGCTATTAAAGCACCAACTAGGAATCAGGTGATTAGCTTCCAATTCTTGCTCTACGACAAATCTTGCACTTGGCCTTTGGAAAAATCTGGAAAATAGATATTAAGTGGAATGATGAGAAAAGAAGACAGTAGCATCTGGAAAGGAGAGAGTGTGTTTTCCTACTGCAACAGTATAAAATTACTTCTTAGGATGTACAAATTTACCAGTATTATTAGCACTAAACATGACCTGATAAAAAGACCTGGTGCTTTAAAAAAAAAAAAAAGGTTTATGAACTGCCATCCTAACACAAAGTTAAACAAAGCAAAGAATGGGATTCAGCTAACCAACTCTGTCAACAGAAGCCCTGTGCAAGGACTTCTGCATGCACAATGGGGCTCCCCCCGCCTTCCCTCCAAAATTGACTCTGGAAGGGTTGGGACATGACTATAACATTGCACAGGGGAATGGGGCATTGCTGCATCTAGCAAGCTATAATGCTTGCGCAGGCAGAACGAATGGAAGAGTGTGACATGGAATTCCGCAAAATATCAGAAAAGCAGCCTTAGTTAACTCCAAATGAACAGAATGTTTAAGAAATATATAGGCAAAAAGAAAGTGTCTACGGCAGAATAATGAAGATGTGTTCCATTCATTAGTTTTATACATGATCTCTGTAACCCACACCCGGTTTCAAAATATCCCAAATCCCATGTCTCTTCTCCTGACCCCCCAAATATTTATCTTCCTAGAAATAACTGCAATCTTAACTCTTTTCTCTTTCTGCTGCTAGAAATCCTCACAGCTTCCGAATGTCAGTGACTAGGCAGCACTTTTGTACCAGGAGCCAGAGAACAAGAGTTCTGGTTCACACATTACGATAAGCCAAATGATGGTTTAGTGAGAACCTGCAGGCTCCTGGGAAGGAGATTGTGGCTGTTTTGCTCCTCCCTGGTTAGTTTGCTCCCTTGCTTTACTGAGATAAGCCAGGAACTGACTTAGCATATTGTTGAAATCCAGGGCTCAAAATTTAACTTTCTCTGAACTAACCACAAGCAGTAACCAAGGTCCACAATTTTGCAAGCCACACTCACCATAGGAAGAAGTCACATGGTCTCTGGCAAGCATGATGAGCCCCAGACTCCCTTCATATTTGGAGCTGAGTGGATGATGCCAGATTTCTACCCACCCACAAGATTCAGAGGAAACACTGGATTTAGTTTACTCTCAAGAGCACCTGGCAAAGCCAAACCCCCACAGGTCTCGTTAATTAATGGATAGTGTTTTGACCAAGACAGATAAAGTATACAAGAAAAAGTATTCAAAAATCATAAAGGTAGTCATGGGAATGAGAAAGCAGAAACAATGAAGTTTGGAAAATGTGAGATTTTTCTTCCTGATGTTTAATATGTCCCAGGATGTATGCTTAACTTAAGATAAACTGAAAGCCCAGCACATACTGCAAGCTAAAACATGGCACTCAGGATCAAGCTAGATGCCAGACCCATGCAGTTTTCTTGCTGAATGGGAGGCCACTCTTACAAACAGGGGCTGATCACAATTCCCCAGTCAAATGCAGCATCCAGGGCTCTGTCAAATAATCAGTGACAAACATTCAGGGTTGACAAGAGCTGTAGTTCAACATCTGGAGGGCACCATGCTGGGTACTCCACCCTCTGTCATAAACTGCCTATGAATCTTAACATATAAGCAGTATATACCACCAATGTAAGAATGAAATTCTCAATCATCTTTGAAGTCCAGGTTTTGATTAATCTGACTTCTCAGGTTATCTTCCATCTTGCTTTCTTCTCAATTCTACTTAAATTCCTTTAATGCAAGCTTTGGAATTTTGCATTCATAATTTATATTTTTAAACAAAAACAAGGAGAAAGAGGACCCATTGCTCAGTGATTTAGTAAGTGCCTCATATGCAAAATGTCCCAGGGCACAACAGCTGAAATAATCTAAGGCAGCAGAACTGGGAAAGACTCCCGTCTGGTACTCTGGAGAGTCTTCACCAGTCAGAGATTCAGGCTAGATCAGGGGTAGGCAACCTAAGGCCCGGGGGCCAGATGCGGCCCAATCGCCTTCTCCGTCCGGCCCATGGACAGTACGGGAATCAGCGTGTTTTTACATGAGTAGAATGTGTCCTTTTATTTCAACTGCATCTCTGGGTTATTTGTGGGGCATAGGAATTCGTTCATTTCCCCCCAAAAAATATAGTCCGGCCCACCACATGGTCTGAGGGATGGTGGACTGGCCTACGGCTGAAAAAATGTTGCTGACCCCTGGGCTAGTTGGTCTGACTCAGTAGGAGGAAGTTTCATACATCCTATCCCCCCCGAATATTATTATTATTATTATTATTATTATTATTATTATTATTATTATTATTATTATTATTTTATTATTTATACCCCGCCCATCTGGCTGAGTTTCCCCAGCCACTCTGGTTGGCTTCCAATTGAGTGTTAAAAACAATACAGCCTCAGTATCATTTAAATATACATCTAATACCCAAACACTAGATGCATTGGCTGAATCTCCCACTGTCCAGTTATTTAATGAAAGCGTATTATATCCTGTCATTCAGTTTCACAATGTGCAGGGTGTCTTACAATTAAAACAATCAATGATATTTAAAAAATACTAAAAACAGCAGAGTGAGAGCAAGAAAAAACAGCAACATTAAAACAGATCTTAAAAATTGTAATTGTTATAAGTGGTGGGACGCGGGTGGCGCTGTGGGTAAAAGCCTCAGCGCCTAGGGCGTGCCGATCGAAAGGTCGGCGGTTCGAATCCCCGTGGCGGGGTGCGCTCCTGCTGCTCGGTCCCAGCGCCTGCCAACCTAGCAGTTCGAAAGCACCCCCGGGTGCAAGTAGATAAATAGGGACCGCTTACTAGCGGGAAGGTAAACAGCGTTTCCGTGTGCGGCTCTGGCTCGCCAGAGCAGCGATGTCACGCTGGCCACGTGACCCGGAAGTGTCTCCGGACAGTGCTGGCCCCCGGCCTCTAGAGTGAGATGGGCGCACCACCCTAGAGTCTGTCAAGACTGGCCTGTACGGGCAGGGGTACCTTTACCTTTTTATAAGTGGTAGATGAGCTAACAGTCCCACAACTCAGATTAAACTGGTAATTTCTCCTTTACTTGGAGCAAATACTGCCAAACCAGAGGAGACTTCTTGATTTACTTTGCCCTACTGCAAGTGCAGCCATTTTTATGAATGGAACTCCTACTGTGGGGAATATTCCCAGAATAGGTTACTAGTCACCAGTACTGACATAAAACAAATTATTTTGTGGATCAAAGGCTTTTTGGCACTTTAAATTGAACTTAATTCTATCTGACTTTTGAGGATGCTTCGATCATTAATCTCCAAAATCTAGTTGGGCAATCTCTTCTCTCTTTCTCTCTCTGGCTGAGTAAGATTGTCTTCCATGAACACAGTCTTAGTGGTGTGTCCATAAATGACTGTGGAGGCCAATTCTGGATCCACACATCCTTCCACAGCGGGGACGTAGGTTTCTGGATGGGAGTTGATCACGGTGAGAATTTGCCTAATGTGCCTTCCTCTTAGCTCATTTCTCCCTTTCGTCCTGAATTCGTGCTTCTTCAAAATCCACAATGCCTTTTGTAGAGGCTGTTCTCCAACTGGAGCACTTGCAGGCCAGTGTTTCCTATTATCGGTGCTTATATTGCATTTTTTTTTAGATTTGCCTGGAGAGCATCTTTAAACCTCTTTTGTTGTCCTCCAGTATTTCGTTTTCCTTTCTTAAATTGGGAATAGAGTAGTTGTTTTGGAAGACGATAATCAGGCATCCAAACAACATGACCAGTCCAAGGACGTTGGTGTTGAAGAATCATTACAATGCAATTATTGAGACTAGCCAAATGTCCACAAGAGTGGCAAGCTTTAGAGTTCTCTAGAACTCTTAATCAAGCAAGACACAACAACAAAACCGGGGGCAAGGGAGATGAGGATAATTTTTTAAAGTACAAAAATTAGGTTGATGTTGTAGCCATGAGGTCAGGTTGACTTCATGATGGAGACTGCAGGCTGAGTCCCTTCCTGTTACCAGGTTACAGGTATCAGGTTACACACCGAGGATGCACACCATACAAACAATGCTGATTACTGGGCTGCTGTTAGGGCAAATTATATTTTAACTACTCACTTTAAGTACATTGTGATATCTCAAACTTAAATGAAACACACTAGTTCCTGAGCTACAAAGACAACAGAAATAAAGAGAAACATGAGAGTCTTTCATTTACCAAAGTAAGGGATTAATTTTGGGTGGTGCACTTGACAACCATCCAAAGTTCATATTAAAATTATTATTTTAATATGAAAATTAAAATTAGTACCTAGAACACCATCCAAAGGTAATCCCTGATTTTGCTAAATTAAAGACTGCCAAGTTTCTCTTTACTTCTGCTCTGTGCCTATGCCAGTAACCTCTGCATTTTGTTTAAGACAATGATGGCTAAATCTTTTACAGGCCTTGGGCCAACAATCTGGGGCCAACTCTTAAGGACCAACATGACTACCTTTGCTTATTATTGCTCATTAAAGTATTTTAAAGTTCTAGAGCCTTTGGGCCTGGACAGACTGACAGCATCCATTTAAAAATGTCAAAGGGCAAGAAAACATGCATTGTTGTTAACCTTAGATGCTATTATAATATATTACAAATACTTCTCATGAAATCACATTAAAGGAATAGAGGTAGAAGAAAAGTATACAAGCTTTAAAAAACCCAAATGTGTTTGTGTTCCCATGCCATTACTAAAAAGAATATGGTTAAGGTCAAAAGGATATTGCAGCAGAAAAGTGGTATGTAATTAATGTAAATTAGGGCAGAAAAGGGATAGGAAAACAGCTCTCTCTCATGAACAATGGTACTCAAGTTATTTTGTAGACTAATGAGGACAAATACATTTATACGATATACTAGAATAGACTAATAAGAGATCAGCTAATGCATCTCATTGCCAATGGTTGATTTATTCCTACAGAAACATTATCAATGTTTCATACAATTTAGATTTTAAAATGCAGAATATATTATTTCCTTAGGAATATGCTGTTAAAAATGTAA